AAAGAGTTCAAAGCAGGAGCAGAGAGGGGAGCAGGACAGGGCCCAGCTGAAGAGCCATCCGCTCAAGAGGGCCCCCCTGGTACTAACCCCTCCGTGCGGGGCACCCAGGCTGGAGGAAAGCAGAGGGTTACACAGAACATTTAGCAGACTTAACATTGGATTAAACACACTGCTGCAAGTTTCAACAAATGTTCATGGCATACGTAAAACACATTTACAACAAGAAAGAAGAGAGGCACCTGGAGACATCTGACACTGGGCATGCTCTGCAGGCAACTCAGTGCGCACATGCTCTCTACCAGGTTGGCGCAGCCTAGCCACAAAGACCTTGGCACAGAACACTGCAGGGTGACAAAAAGGAAGGAAGAGAAGAAGCAGTTAGAGGCCGCAACAAATCACTCCTTCACACAGGCAACTCGAGTGTTAGTTGGGGCGGGGCCACCCTCAGTTTGGAGGTCCGGGAAGGGCCCCGAGTTCACTGAAACCTGGGAGAGGGCCCACTTTCTATGGAAAGGAGGTGTCTGCTGCCGACCACTGATTTCTCATGATACAGTGAACAGAATCAAGAGGGAGAGAGAGCTTAAATGAAAACCCACTAATGGGAACTGTGCAAGTCTGAATATAAAACAAAATCAGTGGTGAGACTAGGACTATAACTTCATCCAAGTGACGGTTTCTGGTCTATGTCATATGATCGTAATTGCCATCACTGCTTAAGGACCCACTATGTGCCAGGCACTTTAAATGCATTCTCTAATCCTCACACCACAGTGTAAGGACCCTGAGGCCCACAGGTTAAGTGATTTGCAAAAGGACACAGAGCAAAGGAGGGGAGAGCCAGAATTTCAAACTTGGCTTTGTCTGCTACTGAATCCCCCATTCTTCCACAAGACTATGATGCCCTATTGTAAACACTGTGATCACCCCAACTTTACCAACGTGAATACAGTTTTCCACACCCCTAAAGTAAAATCAGAGGAGACCTATAGAGTAAGATAAAAAAGACAAGAAAGATGAGTGATAGAGTGACAGATTCGGGTGATAAAAGAGCCCATTCAAAATGTGATTTCCAGTAACATCCACATCTCGGCCTTCCCAAAGAGTAAAATGTTGGAATACCACTATCTGCATTTTGGATTTTCTTTACAAAGTTCAATTGACATAACTAAGAATTAAACAGCTTGTTTTATTTATTCTTCCCATCCTCTTTTTAGTTTGCTAGTTTAAAAGAATTCAGAAAAGAAGTAAAACATAAAAATGACCTTATGTATCATGGCTAGTGCTTAATAACCATTAGACTATGGCAGTGAATAAATATTTTTTTCAGTTCTAAGGTTAATTAATTTACTCTGGCAAAACCAATAGTCATGCAAAAAAAAAAATTTTTTTTTTTTGAAGGTAGGTGCTCAGGTTCAACCACAATTATTTCAGAAGCACAGGCCCAAGCTTACAAACGTTTTTACCCTCACTGTAATTAGGATGGCCAGACACCCCCTCTGCCTGAGACAGTCCCGGTTTACACTTAATGTCCCAGCATAACTTCCACTCTCCAAGTGTTCTGGTTTGGCGGATAAATTCTCTTATCATCCCAACCATAATATAAACAAAGACAGCATTGCTTGAAATCAGACAGACCTGGAATCCTATCCAGTATCTGCTGCTTGCTAGTTACATTTTACCTACAAGATAAAGCCCACAGAGAGTATTTAGAACAAGTATCAGAGGAACAAAATGGAATCAAAAATTGACCAGCTTCCTGGTAGCAATGAAAATGCCACACATCCAAAGCTTACCAGAGCCAATACAGTAGCCATGTGTCACCGACATTCCAGACACACAGACTTTTGGCTGACCCACACTTTCTGTGTCATAGAGGATCAACTATGGGAAGGATGCTGTGTGTTTGTATAATATAATGAATTAGCCACCATTTGTCAAACTTGTTATATGCTAAGCCACTGACATAGCAAAGTCTCACAATAATATTTTTAGAATTATATTTATTTAGTTTTATTATTATTATTTTAATTTGACCAGAGATGGACAGAGTGAGAGAGAGAACAGTAAAGTGAGAAAGCAAACTACCAGGTCTGGGACTCAAACCATGATTGGCCATGTGGGAGTCCAGAGCCCTTACCACCATGCCACCTGCAAGCCCCTCATAATAATCTTTATAAGATAGAAATTATTCCATTTCACAGATGAGGAAACTGAGGTTCAGTAAAGGAGACCCTGATCTGGTCCAACAGCTACCTGGCCAAGGTACAAGGGAACCCTAGTGGACGGCAGAATTATGACTAGAAGTTAATCCCAATCTAAGCAGACTCAAGAGTTTTCTTTCTCTTACAACAAACTCTTCCTATCCAGACATTCTCACACACTTATTAAAGGAATTCTTACATCAGAATTCAAGCATCAGAAGTGGACGGGCAAAGATCAGTTTAAGGATTACACCTGCATTCGGCAGCCAGTATCAGAGTACCACCACCTCACCTTGAAATCAGTTTTCATTTATCCAGTAAGAACAGCTGGGTTCCCACTGCAAGGTGTAACAGCATTTGCCTCAAACGGTAAAAACCATGAAAGCATAAGGTACTGACTGGATTCTTTTCATAACTTGGGATCTAAATTGGGGGGAGGGGGCAATTTTTCACATTCAATAAGTCAAAAAATCTTAGACTATGAGAACGGGAAGGACCATAAAGACCATTCCAGCCAACCTCTCGCCCCTGTTTATAATATTAGATGTGAAGAGACTAAAGCCCAGAGGACAGAAATAACCATCTTCAAGGTTTCCTAAACATACAGTCAATATTTACAAAAATGTTCACAAAAACAACTAAAATACAATTGTAATAAAGCTAACCTAATTTCAAAATATCAACCACTGATTACAAGTTTGATATTGTAAAGCTTGACGCTGAACTTGTATACTGAGCAGTCTTTTTCAGGAATCCCGTGTGAGGGTCTTACTTCCACAAATGGACCTTTAGCACATGGACACAGTCAGGTGTAAGCAATGATACGATGCCAGGATTTACTGAGCATCTATTAGGTACCAGCGCCATACATAAAGGATAAATGCTAAACGCAAATAAAGGATATCTCATCTCATTGTAAAAATCATTTTACACAATAGGTATGCTTTTCCCAGCATTCATAAGAAAAACACAAGCTCAAAGAGATGAAGAAAACCACAGTGCAAGCTTGGTGATGGGCTTTCAAGCTGTCTGAGGCAAGAGCCACTGTGCACCATGATCCACGCTGAACACTGCTTCCCAACCGAACATAGGAAGAGACAGCCTGAGCCAAGGCACTGCCGATCTGGTGTGCCAGGCGATGCCAGTTCATTAATCAGAGGCTCGACTCTCAGATCATCCTAGGCCTGGGGTCTCCCAGTTTCAAAACCAGTCTTGTTATCCACTTGGTTAAAAGCAAAGTGTCGCTTGTTAAGAGCAGTATTAATAGAACTGTCCTATTATTATCTACTACCTAGGGACTAAGTGACGACTTGCATTGCTGAAAAAAGGAGTTCACGCGACAGAAACCGCACTCTAGGAAATACACACATCTTTTACTATGGAAGCTTTACCTGCTGGTTTTAACAACGTTCCTCTTAGGTCTAATGGACCAGAGTACATTGATCCAATCTGAAAATAATTGATAAAAATTTAAAGTCTACAACATGTACCTAAGAGCACTAAAATGCAACTAAAACCACAACAGTGATTCCTGACACCTTCTAAAACACATACACACGCACACACACACACGTTTTTGCCATAGGGTGCTTGAACTGGCCGGAGAGAGACAGAGAGGAAAAGTGAGACATCAACCCACAGGAGTGGTCGTCATACTGCAATGCTTTCTCCTCCATTCTCCCCTCAATGTTTTGGGCATGCATGCACATGTGCCCAGAGTGACTTCGAGCCACTAAACGATGGTTGACCATGTGGAGACCCAGAGCCTTAACCATCACATCACCTGCTGGCCTTGAAGCTTCTCATTTTAAATTAGGGACTTGTTTGGAAACCCATGTTGATCATTCTGAAACAACTACTGCCCAACATTCTTTAATAACGAAAAGGTTTATTAGCTATAATTATGGCATGGACTTCTGTCTCTCTTTTTCTTTTTCTTTTTTTTTTTTTTAAAGCTAACAGTGATCTATCTTTAAGCTTCTGGAACACTATTTTACTGAATCTGAAGGGGGCCCAGCATAGTGGTTAAGGCGCTGGATTCCGACATGGCTGACTGCAGTTAGAGTCCCAGACCTGGCAGCTTGCTTTCTCACTCTCTCTCTCTCTCTCTCTCTCTCTCTTTCTCTCTCTCTCTCTCTCTCTCTGGTCAAAGTAAAAAATAAATAATATCAAATAAAATTAAATAATTTTTTTAAAGAATTATTTAAAATCAGTAGTTGGTGTAATGGCTATGCTGCTGGACTCTCATGTAGTCGACTGTAGTTCGAATCCCAGACCTGGTGGCTTAAACTCACACCAGGCACATGTGTGTGCATACCCAGAATCCTAAGAGGAGAATGGAAGAGAAGAGACCGCAGCATGGCCATCCCCCGGGGCAGTGATTTCTCACTTTCTGTATCTCTATCTCTGTCACTCTCTTTATGGCACGCACACATGCCCTATAGCAAAAACCTCTCCAAAAAAAAAAAAAAGATTTTATTTAGGTAACAGCAGGTGGTGTGGTGGTTAAGGCTCTGCACATTCCCACATGGCCGACCACGGTTTGAGTCCTGAACCTAGTGGCTTGCTTTCTCATGTTCTCTCTCTCTCTCTGTCTCTCTGTCTCTGTGTGTGTGTGTGTGTGTGTGTGTGTGTGTGTGTTTCTCTGGTCAAACTGAAATAAATGAATGAATAAATAAAATTAAATAATTCTTTTCTAAAAAGTTTTAAAACAAAGATTATTTTATTTAACTTTATTTATTTATTTATTTATTTATTTATTTAAATTTGGCCACAGGGAGTGAGAGAGGGAGGAAGGGAAAGTGAGAAAGCAAGTTCCTAGGTCTGGGACTTGAACCACAGTAGGCCATGTGGGAGTTCAGTGTCCTTAACCACCACGCCACCTGCCAGCCCCAATAAATAATTATTTTTTAAAAAATTGAATCTGGGACCAGCAGTTAGCGTAATGGCTATGTCACTGGACTCCCACGTAGTCGACTGCGGTTCGAGTCCCGGACCCGGTGGCTTAAACTCACGCCGGGCGTGTGTGCGTGCATGCCCAAGATCCCGAGAGGAGAATGGAGGAGAAGGGATTGCGGCGTGGCCATCCCCTCTGGGGGGTGATTTCTCGCTTTCTATCTCTCTGTCTCTCTCTGT